TAAAATACATTTGTAGCATTTTTAACTGAGAAACAGAATACTGAGAAAAGCTATTGGGGGGACAATTTTTGCCATTTTTCATTGATGAGCTTCAGAAGTATATCAGTCAGGTATATTCAAACTGGTTAAACCTTATCTGATTAATGACATAGGTATATCAGATTCTGTAAACAATTTTCAATTATACTAGTAAAAAATGGTTTTACAAGAGGAAATTAAAGAAGGGAATTCCAGGTTACTGAAAAAAAATCAAATTAAAGGGAAAACATCACATATATACAAAAATTAGGGAGGAAAACACCCAAATCAGATGCAACAAAATAGAAAAAATAATCTTTAAATATCCATCTTCCCTACAGATTTAGACAATAATTATTTTCTATATATAAACTTTGCATTTAAAAGAAAAAAAAAAAAAAAAAAACAAAACAAACCACACAGCTGATAAGCTCTATTTTTGTTCTTCAGTGAGGAAAGTTTTTCTTTAGACAGGAAAAAGTCCACTTGCATGAGAAAATGGTACTGCCTGGTGGGAGTTAGTTTTAGTGGAAAAGTGAGATAACAGAAGAAAAAAAAAAGCCTGTAGAAGCCTTGGTGCATCCTAGGCATCCAGAACTACAAATGCTTTCAGACCCTGATCTTTTATCGCTGAAACTTTGTGTGATTGTTCACTCTCCAAGCAGCCGGTTCTTGCTAGTTTGAGTTTGATAAATGGAACAAGTGGTTACACGGTTGTATTCGACAAAAGATGTACAGAAGCTTGGCAGGTTTGCACAGATTTCAGCAATTCCTAATTAGAAAAATAGAAGAAATCATTTCCCATGACACAGCAAGCCACAACCATTGAAATCAGTACAATTCAACTTCCCCCAGTTGGGGAGATCTCCTGGACTTTCAAGGAGAATCACCCTGAACCACTCCTGTCTCTTTTTTCTCATGGCACTGTTTGGAATTAGCTTCTCTGAGGTGCAACCAACAAAAATCATTGAAATAGGAATATATTGTGATTTCTGCAAAGAGACAGCACACTTACTAATATGTGCTAGTTCTAATACAATACACAAAGAGATGTCTTCCTTTTAAGCACTGCTCTCCTCCGGCTGTGTCTGATTACAAAGAAGCTTTTATTCTTTTTCGGGCAGCTTTTACAAAGCTTTATGTTGCCATGTTCTGTTATCAGCTCTCCTCAGCCAGAAAATGCTATGCACTGTGCAGTTGACCCCCGAAAATGTTGCCATCTACCATATTAAACATAGGCACCAAACCATCAGAGCTCAGATTTTTACCAGCTAAGCTGAAATAAAATCACAGATGCAATTTGAAGATGTCTCATGTCTCAATCTCAGAAATCTGAGTCTCTGAGACCTCCAAACTTCAAGATTTGTCTAATCTAGCAGTACTTTTCCTGACCACTACAACTATCATTACATCTCCAGAATGTCAGCAAAGATGTTCTACAAAATGTTTTCCTTTGGGCTTTTTTCTTGATGAGTATAAAAATCTACTTTAATGCACCAATTTTCACTAAAAAGCTTTACAAATACCAGCAGAATTTACAAAAGCAGCACAGTGATCAGCAATAAAGCCCTTACAGATGTATTTCTGTGTCCACAAAGGAAGCAGCTGTTTGTTGAATTTAGGATAATGAAATCTTCCTTGACATACAGACTTTGAACAACAACATATTGGCTTGCCCAATGTGTATCAACAATTCTTGTTCGTTTTCATAGCTTCAAGGCTTATCAGACCATTTCTCTGCATTTCCCTGAACAAAGTTTGAGCCACAGATGTTGGAAAGGAAACAGACGGCAAATACACTAGAGAGCATAATAAATCCCCAGCTTCCATTGTAGACTTTGCCTATGTCCACTAAAGCTGTATTCAAACAGTGAACAAAGTAAATAGCAAGCAGAGTTTGTCCAAAAATAGTTCTAAATGCTGTCAGTAGAAGAGATGTTAATGATAGATACATCATCCCCTTCTTGGATTCCACAGTTCTAAAAGGGGATTCAATTCCTTAAGTGTTTTCTTACTAAGGGAAACTTTTTCATAAGCTGGGTGACCTTTAATACTGAGCAACAGGAACTGCTCTGCTAATATGGTTGCATGAAAGGGACATGGCTTGAAGATTATAGGCAAGTTCAAAGCATAACATAACAATTTATACCTGAGATTTAGCTGTGCTGCAGCTTTGTAGTTAATAAGCTCCTTCTATGCTTATTCTGATCCCAGATATTTTGGGGATAGGAATTTGCAAGGTCTGCCTTACGTGTTGACTTCTCAAGATTTTATTTCATTGCCATTCTTAATCCATCCAAGCTGGACCTGAGACATGAATGGTGTCTAATCTTACACAACCAGATTTCATGTTTTATTGGTTTGCTTTCTGAAGTTTACCTTTATTCTTAACAGACTCAGTACATAACAAAAGTAACAACTGCTTTTCAAAAGCCTTCTCAATCACATGATTCAAAGTTCTTTAAGATTTGAAGCTGTGACTTGCAGTAGAAATATTATTAGTAGTATGTATGAGTATGAGTATGAGTATGAGTATGAGTATGAGTATGAGTATGAGTATGAGTATTAGTATTAGTATTACTTAACTTCCAAAAGAATATTTGAATGAAAAGGAGTAGTGTAAGTATTTCAAAAAATCATCTGAGGATAAATTCAGGGATGGGAAAAAGCTAGATTTTGTGAAGTTTCTATTTACATATGTAATCTTAAATATTTTAATGTGTAATTATATTTCCCATGTAACTTGGAAATTTACTTATGCTTTAACTAATAATTTTTTTGATTATTGAATCTGTGGTAAGCAAAAATCGCTACCCCTAGAGAAATGATATTGTACACACAGAGCCCAGTTTTGATCCATTTTCACTTCATCTGGCAGATGCATAACATACTCAGTTCCTGCACGCCAGTTTATCCCTTTCTTTTTCAAGGAATACATTTTTCATTCCTAGTCTGCACTTTGTAAAATATATTTAGTCCATCATGATTCTTCTCAAGGTATTGCAAATGCTAAAATAGAAATAGACAATATTCATTTGTGCTGCATCTCCGATAAGAGATTAGAGGTTTCAAATTTTCCATAGTAACTAGAATGGCTGAATTTTTCTCTTGACAATAACATGATGAATTCCAGTTTCAGTCATTTAGGAATAAATCTATTACTTTAAGCAAAGTTACTCCAAAGATGTCCATTCTACAACTTCTTACAGCAAGTGAGAAGACCCGTGTTCTACTTGAGGGGATGTAGCAGCCTTCAGAAAGAAAAATAATCTTTTGGGTTGGGTGAAAGGCAAAAATTCCCATTTCCAAGAAACACATGGCAGACACTTTCCAGTGTCTATGGCATTAGTAGGGAAGGATCCAGAGAAAAGAGATGGCTTTTGGGGGTGAAGATATAACTATACATCAATATATATATTTGGGCATAATTTGCATTGTTTATAGAAATGTTTACTGTAGTTTTGATCGAAACTAAAAAATGCTTTAGGTTAGTTGTATGATTAAATTCATATGAAGTATTTTAAATTTTCTCATACAGCTCATTATTTGCTGGATTGGACTGTTGTAGGAATGAAGGGTAATTATTAATTGCAAACATATTTAGGTCCCTCCTGCCATCTGATAGCTGTGTGTGCTTATGCAGGATAGCGATTGATTTTTAAAAAAAAAATCATATTTTTGGTACAAATTGTAAATCAGAGAAAAAAAATTAAGCTACACTGCAGTGTCAAGTGCAATCACAGATCAAGTGACATGTGACATTATCCAAAACCTCTCTGGATGGAGTTACCTCTTCATAAGTTAGTGCAAAAAGGTGAAATAAGTGAGACTGAAAAAATGGCTCTTTTGAAGGGAGAGAGATGTGAATACAACTTATCTGCTACAGAATAGCATTCTATTATTTTGGCACGGTAAGCCTAATTAAATAGTTACATTTTAAAATCTTTATGAGAATCTTAATTATTAATGACATCAACAGGCTGGAAAAAATGTAGGTTAGGTGTGGGGAGAGTTTGGCTCTGCAAAGACATTACTTAAAAGCAAATTTTTTGCATGACTGAGCACATGTGCACGCAGACTAGATAGTCACACTTTACAATGAGGTTACAGTTATAAATTATTTATAAAATGTTGGTAAACACTGTAGGCTATTACAGAATCCACAGAGTCCATAGTTTTGTTATAGCTATGTGTAACACTATCAAGTAATGTGCAACTACATATAATTTATGAAAGTAATATCCGTAGTATTGTTTATGATGTGCATTAATAATTTATTAATCCTTTATGAACTATTTATAAATGCAAAACTAATGGAAGGCATGGCTGACTGGTTACTCCATCACCCAAGCTGTATGGGAGCCAAAGGTTGCACACCTCTGCCCCTCCTTTCTACCTCACCCAGTAGTCTTTAGACAAGGCAGCACTCACTCTTTCCTTACAGAATCGTAGGAAATTAGAAATCAGAGAGACAAATTGTAAAGAGATTTGCCTGCAAGCAAATGCACAGGATTCTTCAATCTTCTCCAATATTTCTGCAGAGCTACCATAGGTCTCCTTCGCTGGGTCCATGAGAAAAAACTCCTTGCAGATGATGTGTGTATATTAAAGTGTACAAAGGCTTGATTCTAGGGGATTTTTGTATAGTTTGGCATGTCAGACCAACAAAACATGGGCCATCAATCCTTATGGTATCCACTGGAAAATGGGCAATTTGTAGAAATGAGTGCTGTAGTCTAGGCTGCCATGATCTCTAAGAACAGATCCTGGCTTGCAGGATTATTTTTCTGCTCCAAAGCATTTCTGCCTGACAAGGTACAGCCACTTCTGCTTGCAGCAGGCAAGCTCCACTAACTTTCATGTGCCAGCTCAGTTTTATTGCAGCTCTTTGCTTCTTTATGCATGCTGTGAAATCCCTTGCTGAGGCATTGGATACCAGAGTACCATCCCCACACATTAATTCTTCTCTTGCTCTCCTGCAGGAAACAGATCTCATTCTGACCTTTAACATCTCAATGCACCGTTCCTGGTGGATGGAGAATGGGCCAGGCTGCACCGTGACCTCAGTAACCCCAGCACCGGACTGGGCACCAGAGGATCATCGTTACATCACTGTCTCGGGGTGTTTCCTTGAATACCAGTACATAGAAGTGGCTCACAGCTCTCTTCAGATCTTCCTTGCAGTAAGTGTTTACAAATAACTTCAATTCCACCGCCTTTTCAGGATTTCTTCTTGTCTTTACTGGAATAGTGGATGGTTGTGGCATTTACTCACAAACCTTGGCTTTAGGTCTTTGTTTACTTATGAAACTCAGTTGTCATTCAGCCAGTTCAAGATAGCTGCATGCAAAAATTTCCAACATCATATTTATTACTGCACTAAGAACTACTGACATGGCACACTCTGTTTTCCTGATACTATAATATATGTTTTGACATAATAGCAAGTTAAAGCTATTGTTGTGAAAGCCAAATTAAATATGAAATTGAATACAAAAGACAAACCAACAGTAAAAATAGATTCCCTGATCAGTGCACAGGACTCAAACTCATCAATTTGTTTTTAACTGTATTAACTGACACTAGACTACAAAGGGAGGGGTTTTCCCTCCTCTCCCTTCCCCTCCTGAAAAAGTTACACTTACATGAAAATCAAAACCCAAGATCTTAAATCTTTTATAGGAGTACAGGAATCCATTGTTGCACTGCAGAAAATTTATAAGGGATGAAAACTGTTTGCTTGGGGGAAATAATGTATAATGGAGCTCGAAGTTATCCAAAAAGTGGGTGACTTTTCCATTTATCTATTCCCCAGCATTTTTTATCACTCAGACCTGACTCATGGAATTATAGCTTCATAGAATAATTTTGGCTGGAAAAGACCCCTAAGATCATCAAGCCCAACCCTTAACACAGGACTGCCAAGTCCAACACTAAAGCCTGCACTTAAGTGTTTCATCTACACATATTTTAATACCTCCAGGGAAGACAACTCCACCATTGCCCTGGGCAGCCTGTTCAAGTGCTCAACAAACCTTTGGTGAATAATTTTTTTTTAATATTCAACATGAAGTTTCCGTGGTGCAAGCTTGATTTCTCTTCATCCAGACCAGGATGCCATTGGCCTTCTTGGCCACGTGGGCACACGCTGGCTCCTGTTGAGTCAGTGTTGACCAGCACCCCCAGGTCCTTTTCCAACAGACAGCTTTCCAGACACTCTGCCCCCAGCCCGTGGCAGTGCCTACAGCTGTTGTGACCCAAGTGCAGGACCTGGCACTTGGCCTTGCTGAACTTCATATAATTGGCTTTGGCCCATTGATTCAGCCTGCCCTCTCCTCTGCAGAGCTCTCCTACCCTCAAGCCTTCAAAAACAGATAACTAGACTAATTTTTCTGCCTTTTATTTTTTAATTTAATGAACGGTGAACAAGAAACTCGAGGTATATGTAGTTCAAGCCCAGTTCTGTTCCTGATTCAACAAGGTTTTTTGTGTGTCTGTTTTTAAATAGAGCTGTGGTTTTGGATAATCTCATTCTTTTCAAGTTAGAGTAATGGTTCAAAATAACAAGCCATTAGTAATCTGCTAGCTGTAGCTAACTACATCTGTGTTATTTTCCCATTCATGTTACTCCAAATGTGGTTATCACAGGTAAAGGGCTGCACAGCATAAGTATGGGTCAATTTTACAAACCATGTGCTCAACTACTGTTGACATCACTTTCACATTTCCCATTGTGGCTATTTTTTCCTATTAGAAATGCTAGTGTAAATTCACTCCCATATTAAATGTGATTAAATGGGAAACGGAGGAATTAACTGGTAAAGCTCAGTGACATATAACACAAAGTAATAAGAGAAGATACTGTTTGTGTCAGGAAAATTAATCCAGAAATACCAGAGGTTTATATCCAAATAGGAGATGGAGTCCAGTTACTTTATTTGAATAAAGGGACAGGTCATGGGCATTTCCCATGGGGTCCCTCAAATTGTTAGAGGACTCAACCTCCTTTTTATCTTTATTTCCCAGCCATATTTCTCTCTATCTTTCCCCATTGGCTGAAGTACTTGAGAGGTACAGACTTTCCAAATCACGTAAGACCCCCTTCTAATACATACCTCCTCCCTTTTCTTTATGTCAGGCTATGGAATTCCTATGGAATTCCATTGTCAGTGGAGTTGGACTAAATGATTTCCAGAGGTCCCCTCCTACTCTAACAATTCTGTGAATCTGTGATTCTGTATTTCCATGGAATAACTCCCTCATTTCCTGCCCTCCCCAATTCTTGATCAATATCATAGCTGAATCTGCTAAGGTGAGATCTTAGCTTCATCACATTTTGACAGCTACAGCTATTTAAAGGTTTGCTGATAAATGCAAAAAAAAAGCATATTTTTGGACACAACTAATTGAATATTCTTTTTGGAAAGAGCTAACCCCTAATGTAGCCTGTGCTCACATTCTCTCCGGTAGGCACTTCTCTCCCAGGGAAGTCTCATTTACAGAGCTCCCAAGTCTTGAGCATCTGATCCATCCAATATGCTCTGCAAGGACTACAACTCTGCCTGTCCTTATGTCTACAAATTACCAAAATGAACTGGTCTAGTGATGGCATGACTCATATACTCATATGCTTCAGGCAATAAAGTGTCCTTGTGTGTTTAAAGGCTATTGATTCTTGTTGCCTGCATTAGAGAAGCTATTTCATTTTCAGGCCTACTGGGTTATCAAGGATAGATATACTTAAATGACTGATCTCTGGAGAGAATTATTCCAGGTAAAGAATGAGGTCAGTGGTACTAATGGGGATTTGATTTGCAGCTATTTGAGCTGCATTCTGTATGGCGTCTACAGAGTGGAGTCTGACTGAAACTTCCTAGCTGTAAACAATAGGAGGTATAGCTGCCACTTCTCCACGAGGAGGGCAATGCTTGGGAGGGACACAGTGCAGGTCATGCACCACTGCTAATCTTGGCATGTCGTGTCAGGGCTTAAGGTGGTCATTGGCTCTGCATGTAAATAGCATTTGCATCCCAGCCTTTTGTCACACAGCTCAAAGTGTCTCATAAGCTGGCAGTTTCTAAGCACTCACACATATCAGCGTCTAATTCTACCTACAGAGCCTATGTACAATTTTCTTCATTTCCACAGTTCGTTGAACTCCTGTCTTTTAAAAGAAGGTGAAAGGCTTTTCAGTTCAGGCCCTGAGCTTTGGTTCAGGTCAGAGGGTTCTGCTTCCAGATCTATCACAATATTCTTCTGAAACCATTTAATCTCTCTGTGCCTCTTTCCAAGTGCAGAAGAGAGACAAAGAAGCATGTCTAAATTTTTCATGTTCATTTCATAAGACTCTGTACCATTTGCCTAGATAGAGATCTCTTGAATCTTTCAAAAAGCCCCTAAATATGCGAGACACCCAGTACAGGAAGGTCTTTGTGTGGTACAAGGAAATTATAATGTTAATTGCATTTCATACAGAAATTGAGCTCAGATTCTCTGCATCCTCCTTTTGTCTTTGTTTTACTCTTTGATATGCATGACCTGCCCTCATTCCCACAAGTTCTGTTCTTGCAAAAGTCAACAAATTAAAACCCATTTGTAGATCAAAACTCTGAAAATATGCAAATTAGAGATCAGCCTTGGAGATAAGTGTAACAGAATTACAAATCTATTTGCCAACACAAGATTAAAAGTATTTAGTATGCTTATCTTTTACTTCTCACACACTCAAAAATCTATTGATTTTCGTGGAGATAAGTGCCTGAGTTATGGGAATATGACTAATGTGAAGGCATCACCTTAGCCAGTTTGGGTTTTAGTTATATAGCCCTCGAAAAGATGAACTGTGTAATATTATTCCAGTAAAACAAGTGGAAGAAAGGCATTTCTTATGTACTGCATCTGCATTATTGATGGTAATTTACATACCGAATAAATAAAACCATAAGTAAACTATTACATAAAAGTATTGACCATTTTCAAAGTTATCCTGTCCACTGACTTTTATGTGTTATATATTAGTCTGAATTTCTTTTTGTTCCTTCCTGTATTTGTGCTTGAGTATATGCTTCATGCAATCATTAAAATTATTATTTCATGCTTCAAACTCTGTAATATGTAATTACCCATCCATAGTATTTACAGTAAATGTATATTGTTTGGATTTCTGCAAAGTCTGCATCAAGCACAGTACCTTTCATGCCCTGATGCTGTCAGATTGATTTAAAACATCGTGAAGCATAACTGTGCTATTAAGATGCAATAGTACAGCTATGAAGTTAGGACGCCAGCATCAAAATCTCTGCTCTGTTGCAGGCTTACCATAAGACCTCTGGCAGGGTGCTTAATTCATGCCAATTATTGTCTGTACTATACAAACAGTGGTTCTTAAATATTTCAGAAAGATGCTGCCAGGACAATTCCATTAAACGTTGCAGGTAATCCAATATTATGGAAAGGTGGTCTGTGTATGTATTTAAGCACTTAGAACAGTAGAATAGCATTAATGTTCCCTGCTTCTCTTAAGGATTAATAATTAGAATAGGATAGTCTTAAAATCTTTAATGTTTGCATAGCACAGGTGGCATTAAATACTTTCATGCCCGGGTGGAGAGATAAGAGTACTCAGTAAAAGTTTGCTTTTACAAGAATATATTTACTGAACTATCTACCTGTGTTTTAGACCTCCATGCTCAAATATGTTACTGAGAATCTAACACTTAAAGGCCCTCAACATTGCTGAGAAGATATGATTGGAAAAAAAAGCAGTGGTTCCCATCCAAAAGAACTAAACTTTGAAGTATAAAACAAGCCAGCCAGCCCATATGGAAAGGAAAGGAGGAAAAAACGGGAAGACAGAGAGGGAATATTAGTTTGAATTTTCATTGGACCTCCTGTTTGACCATTGTCAGCATTCCTGTAGGCATGATAAAAATGTCCTATGATTCAGAATAAGTAAACTTCTGATAAATTTTATCTGCTGGGAAATTATCCTAAAAAGCAGACAAAGACAGAAGTGTGTGAAAGTTTGAAATTTAGGAATTCGCTGCCAAGAAACTGGTGTCTCATTAGCAGTGCACTCTCATAGTGGCAGGAGGGGACAAGCCAGGTGGGACAGGCCACAGAGAGACTTGCAAGAGAATGAAGTAGGTGAATTTCACAGGACAAAACTAAGGAGAAGAAATGG